TCTGATAGGGTTTTTCTTTATGTAAACGGAACTTTTCCGAGCTTTCTAGCTTTTTCTAGCTAGGCTTGCACATCGGTGGACCGACGATCTGGTGAAGGTCGCGGGAAGCACCTGGATGTTGGCAGCGCAGGTTTTATGAAAACCCTAAAGAGAGGCCTTTGTTCAGCTGTGAACGTCCTTTGGTTGAAATGATGGTATTGTGCACGGTTAAAGTGGTTCTCCTGTGATGCTGCAATCTGTTAGGGTAGATTAAAAAATGTTTAATTAAAGACCCAGGCCGTACTTTAAAATACTGCACTCAGGCATTTCAGGCATAGATACAAATCTGAGATTGGTTTCAACGTAAAAATTGCCTAATTCATGACTCAAATTTTTGTATCAGTAAAATGAAAATATAGTATAGCAAGTAAATATTTTGCCAATTTGCAGGTACGAAAATACCTATCTACACTGTTTTAAGAGATATTATTGGTAGTAAAATATTAACACCTTTATGCTAATTCGTTTCTTCACTAGTCGGAGTAAGGTCTTATGATACGGGTTTTTTCTGTTACTTTTAAATCTCTGTCTTATATTTCGTAAATATTTACTTTATTTATTGAAATTCATCGTATTGTTTTGCTTCGAGCTCCTTCTATATCCTTCTAGTTAAATACGTTGTGGTCAACAAACAACAGTTATTTATACCCTGGACCACTTTAACAGCATATCAGACTTACATTTTTGTTGGATAATAACCCCTATTACAAATACATAAGTTCTCACAGTGTATAGCTTGGCGTGCAGTCGTCTGTATTATTAGAGCCCATTATGATCCTAACAATAACTACTTTAATGAATAACATTATTTAACTACAAAGGGGAAGCTTTTGGCCTGGCTCCCACCTGATGGAAAATGATCATGCTGAACCTAGAAGCCATTTCACCAGTAATTCACAACCACAGAAGAACTGTTTATCTTATCTCTAAACGGAACACATCAATGCGGTTAACATTGCTGCTTTATTGGAATATAAAAAACTGGTTTGGCAATCAAGATAAATCAATCATAGTATTTAATAGATAAACGACTGGAAATGTGCTTGGAGATTTTCATTTCCAGCTAGCTAGAAAAAGCTAGAAAGCTAGGAAAAGTTCCGTTTACACAAAGGAAAACCCTATCAGAATATTCCAAAGTAAGTTTTCTTGCGGTTATACTCGCGTGTGTGATGTTACAGGAAAACTACGCTGCACTTCCCCTGGGAATTCAGAATATATCGGAGTAAAAAACAGCCCATCCGAGTAGGGAGTCGTAAAGGTTTATTTTTCCTGGAATATAAAGCTTGTTATTAATCCCAGAGAGTATAACATGATGACGATTTGCTATTTTTGGTTACTCTCATTATTGCAAGATATTTGTTATTGTCTTTTTTGTTGTTTGTTTTCTTTATATATTTTTTTAGTTTGTCCATTTTATTCCAAACTTTAGTAGGTAATACTTACTCCAATAAAATCAAATCAAATCGATAAAAGATTCACGTTTCTTCAGAATTCATCCCCTAAAAGGGGGAAATGAGGTAACAAAGCCTGAAAATGAACGTGTGTAGGTATTTGTATGGTTTATCGGGTCATTAACAAAAAAGCTAGTTTAGGATAAAACTGAGACAAGAATAATGCTGTTGCATACTTAGGCTTAATTTAACTTTGACAAATGTCAATAATCTGTCTAACTCCATTTAAAAAGCACTGGTTATTGTTATTGTTACGGTTAAAATAAGGTGGTGCAACTCAGGCTTAGTATTATCGAAAAAAGGATTACGAAAAACCATTGACTTTCGGTCATTGTTTCACTACAGCTGAATACAATAGTGTTCGCGACCTATGGTGTCCCGGTTTTCATATCGTTGCTTTTAACAGTGATGTGTTTATTTTATATTGCACAGTTTCGAGGAAAACGGAAAAAAATATTGATGATTAACATTTACTAAGCTGAGCTGCACCACTTAACTTTAAACGTAACTATAACAATAACCGGTGGTTTTTGTATGGAGTTTGACGCTTGTTAAAGTTAAAGTACTGTCACTATGCTATATGTTTCCCTAAACGAAATTAACCTAAAATTAATATTAATTAAATAATATGCAAACACATAACTAACTTAACTTTTCAGTAATTAAATTAGTAAAATTACTATTACTTAATAACCACACACACACACACACACACACACACACACACACACACACACACACACACACACAATTTTCAGTTCCTACTAAAATAAGTCAATAGATATGCATGGTATTTCCTAGCTGTATAATTTCATAATGTAAATTATTGTAAATGGAGAGCGGGGTTTTCTAACACAAGTATCTACTTATACTTAAAAGAAAACCCCAATCGAAACCCTGTTTTTTCAAACCTGATTCTGAATAAACAATTTTGTAGGTATTTGTATTTTGTATTTTTGTACTATGTGAAGGTGTATCAGTGGATTTCTATAGAGTTTGATGATAAGGTGTAGGTAGAACATAAGTTTTAGCAACTTACTGAAATCAAATCAGACTTTTAGCTTTTGTAGCAATTACCAAATACATGGGGATGTATAAGGGTTATTGCCCTTAGCAATTGCTACAAATGCTAAAAGCTTATGAGGATAAGATGCCACAGTGCTTAGCTAGATGAGCCGTCATACCAGTGATATATTGCTTAATTTATAGCCCATCAGTAACTGTAATACATAGTATTTAATGTTTGTTTACCCTCATTAACCTAATAAGACTTATCAGCTGTAGGCTCTTCAATATCTTGCATTTGTATAGCAATCGAAAACTCAATGAAGCCAGCCGTTTCACAGCGAATGTATCGAAAACATTATGAAACGAAGATCTATTGATAAGATCTCCTACGCATACCTATCCTACGTAGGATCTTGCATTACTGGACTGCCGTGGGAACGAGTCTTTAGTTTCAGCAATTACTAAAATATTTACAGCACAAGCACCAAACTAAGCTTTTGTAGCAATTTCCCCTATTATATCCCCATAAGATGTCACAGTTCTCGAGTGACGACCACGGTCTGGAAGACGTAGCGTGGGTAGGCCTCCTACTAGGTGGACCGACGATCTGGTAAAGGTCGCGGGAAGAGCATGTATGCGAGCAGCGCAGGGCCGTTCATTGTGGAAAACCTTGAGGGAGTCCTTTGTCCAGCAGTGGACGTCACTTGGCTGAAACGAACGAACGAACGAAGATGCCACAGTGCTTAACTTGATATGCCGTCGTAGTATGTATTGCTTAATTAATAGCCTATCAGAGNTAACAGAAACTTTATTAATTAATTAATACAAAGTTTATTTACCCTCATTACTTAAAGTCTTATCAGCTATACTTCAATATCTTGCATTTGTATAGCAATCGAAACTCAATGAAACCAGCCCTTTCACAGCGAATGTATCGAAAACATTATGAAACGAAGATCTATTGAAGAGCCCGTCTTTGTTTTACTACTCCGAGTAAACAATAGTCGTCCGTTGCCTACGCTCTGCCCCAGTTTTCATTGTTGCTCGTTGTAAAAGCTCTATTTATATTGCTACCTAGATAATCTTTTGAAAAATAACGGTTATTAAATTGTTTTGAAGGTTAAGTCGACACCGCAAAGGGTTGTTAATGGAATTATCGTTTTTGTGGGATTATTCGGCTCGTTCAAACGGTACTGACGTGGGAGTATTGTTTAGTATAATTCATATTTAAGAAATTATATGTAGTTAAGTATAATTCAAAGTTCATCAAGCTTAAATAGTTAGAAGAACAGTTATTGAGGATAACGCTTTTTTGTTGTGTTAATTACTTCTTAAATAATGATCACTGATAAGCTAACTGTTTTAAAATTGGATCGGTTTACGCATCGAAATTACATGCGAATGATAAAAGAAACAAAAGAAATGAACTTAAGCTTTATTTGTAGTCTCATTATTACAACCATATCATAAGAGATGATTTTAAATAAAAATTGTCCTTGTTAGAGCAGCGATTTGTCATTAATCTCAAAACACGTCTTGATTAGCATCTTAACGACGCAGCCATTCACGGCGACCCTATTAATTCCGCCAATTTGTTATACACCGCGGAGGAGCATAAGAAATTAAGAAAAATTAACTTTCAGGAAGGTAATATTGCTAAACGGGCACGTACAAAATTATATGAAGCCGTGACAATTTTTTCCTGCACTAAGGAAGAGCCGGGAAGCCGCAGTGATTTATATAATGAATAAAAATGCTTCCTAGGACCATGAGGCGGCCATTTTGCTGGGATATTACAATTAGCCCCATGATAGCCTTTTAAAATTTGCAAAAATAATGTAATAAGGCTTCCGATTTGATTGAGGGTATTGCTTCATTCTCGTTATAGGCGAACGGTAATTAGGTGGGGATTATCTTTCTGAAGCGTTTGAGGCATTGCTTCAGCAAATTTGAAAGGGAAAATCTAGTATCTCTTTCATCTTAATTAAGAAGCAATAAGCAGATAAGTAACTTGACTATAACATTGATAAACTTAAGTCTCTTTTAATGAGATTGAGAAAATATGATTAACTCTATCTAAATAGTAATCCTTTTAACTTTACACAATTTCCAAATTATTGAACTTCTTTTTGATATTGACGTTAAAAACTACGATATTTTATGTACCTAGTTGGCACGAATTTCTATACATAAACGAGCTAAAACAAAGACGCATCACCAAGTCAACCGCGAACGAATGTGTGAGGCGAATCGCTAATCGGAAAAGAGCGCGCTTACAAGCAAATCGCTGGCCTACACCCCGGCACAACAAATTAAGCGTCACACGGCTGCAATCTGTGATTACAAGTGTAAATAATCTGACGAACGCCCAACCCGCGGGGTTGGGCTGAGAGAAAAAAAGAAACTCGTTAAAATAGCGGCTTAAAAAAGAAAAGCGCTGAAACGGGAAGGTTCGCTCGGGTGGTATCGGTTTTTCTCGACGCGGGCGGTTCGCTGGGCGGGGCCGAGCGGCAGTACCGCGCCGCCGGCCGGCTCGCACGCACGTATTCGGGCTCTTTGTCGGTCGCGCCAGCGTCGTGCACATGTTGTGTGAATTTTCGGCATGCCGATGTCGTCGTGAATTGTAGCAAAATGGACTTTCAGAGTGCGATGGAAACCTTCGCTGAAGCATGGGCTGCGGCCAACACCGTCAAGTCGGAGGTCCCGAGTGATTTGTCACAGGTGAGAAGATATTTTTGTTTTTTTTTCCGGATTTTTTGAGCAAAAAAAAAATCACGTGAATAAAAAAGTTAGGTTATTTTTTACGTACATCCAAATATGATTAGTTATGATTTTATTTATCTAAGTTTTGTTTTGTAGTTTAATAAAAACAATGTTTAACTAATTTTAAATAATTTTACTGAATCAAGATTCCAACTTATCACTTTGTTATTTTTATGTTACGTCTAAATCTACGTGTATTGTACAATGTGGACTAATGTATGAAAAGAAAATATCGTCTACCTGTTTTTCTGTTTTGATAAATAAATAAAATACTTACTTTTTAATTACTTTTAAAAATCTAAAAACTTATCCGTTACTTAAAACTCGTAGATGCAGTTTCAAACTCTGCAAATCTAAATAATAAACGCCAAATAATGACGGAAATAAATAAATAAAGTGATTTTATTAACTTTTTTCCCAATATTGTTGAAACACTGCAGGGTAGATTAAGTATTTGCCACGTAAGAATGCCGCGTTATCATGATAACATTGACATCAATTGAAAATTATTAAAACTTTTAACTTAAGTCTATAATATTGTAACTTATCGATGCATTGTCAGATTTTTTTAACGTTAATGCAACTGAATATGCAAGAATATTCTTAACGTGCAAATTAAAAAAGTGGTTAGATTATGTAACTAATTACCGTATCTTTTATTTAGTTTCTTCTTCTATTTAGTCCAAACAAAGCAAAGACTATAATTATGATAAAAGATTTAAAATTGATATTTATACACTTAACACAAGGCTTTGTCAATAAAGACGTATAAGTTGATCTACCTTAATTTTTGCCTACTTTTTCAAATAATAGTAAGTACGTAAAGACTACAATCGTCCCTGTAATCATTAAAATAATTAATTCGGCCAAAAAAACAAAGATACAATAATATCCTTTTCAAATCAAGATTAAAATAAGATTAGCCGGATTTATTTGAAAGATTCCTGAAACTTTGGTAAATTACTACACATGAAAGATGTTCCGCCGATAAAATTTGTTGTGGATAAGCATTAAAAGATTATCTGTGTTCTAATCTATTATCAGGTAATTTATCGGCATTTATTAAGCTGCATTTACGTGGCTAATGATGTGTGTAATTAGTTTACATTATAATTACGTAGTTAAGCTATTTTAAACAAACACAGAGGACCCGGCAGACCCACTGGTCGGCCACAAAAATGTACTTCCATTAGCAACTTTAGTGCTGGTTTAGATACTAATTGAACACTTACTTTTATCGATTATCGATAGATAGGGTTGTAGCGTGATTCACACGTAATAGATATTTTAAATGAGATATCTCTTGAAAGACATCATCAACACTAAAATGACCGCAACTAAAAATGCATTTTATCATCTCGTTACTTAAAAAACCAAAAATCAGTTAAAAATACCCAATTAATCGATTACGCAAATATGTATTTTTTATTGTCATTATCTTAAACGTCTTTTGAATTATCAAAAATAATAATTGAACCAAAAAACACACAGAGTATTATTATCTTGTCATAGCAATTGGTGCACTTACGCATTATTTCCCGTTTAATTGCAATTTAACTGCTGGACCCATTGCGAACCAGTTCTGCTGTGGTTTTAGATTTTGCGAATTAACTTAAATACCAAAAGATGCTTAATTGCACCACAACAGTCTTCTATATTTGCATTAATTAATATTCATATTCAGTATATTAGATATTTACTTTGTTTAGACAATGAGGACATTTAGCGAAATAATCTACGAAGATGATTTAAACAATATTACATAAGTAATTAAATAAAGTCGTAGATAAAAAAAATGGAATAAAGTTCAGTCACGTTCAGTGTCAGTAGATAAAAAAGATTATTTATTTTAAAATGTATTTTTTTAAGGTTTCATGACAAGTAGGGAAAAGCAAAGACGTCTTTTCAAGTATAGGCGCTTTTTGAAATTATGTAATTCAGTCTGTATTGTCAAATTAAAGAAGATTTTGACGGTGATCGTTCGTGTCGTGATATTATTATTTGTGATCGTTTTTACGTATTTACCCCACGATCCATGTTTTGTGACTTGAGTCTGATCAGCCCTTTAATTTTGGATGTGGATGGCCGTATGAATTAGGGTCTTTGTATGCATGATTAATAAAATTGTAGGTACAAATATTGATCTTTCTTGGTTTTTACGATTTGATTCTCAAATAACTAATTAATTTCAATGTAAAGTTCGTATTAACTTATCATCTTAATCATGCAAGAAGATGATTTTCTATGAATCGGTATAAAAATCTCAAGTAAGATAAAAAAAAACCTAGTATAAAAATCTTAAGGATTAATATTATAAATCCCAAATCATATTAATTTTTAAAACTTCACAGAATCATGTATTTTATTTTATTGGGATGGTGGATGTTTGTGTGGTATCCACCTATTTGTCGGTTGACACGGTGTGCGGCGAGGGGCGCAGTGCAATGGTTAATGAAACGTCACGGAGGGGTCGCAGTCAGATGCATCGTTACCTTCTTGTTCTATTAATGCTTTTGTTTTATTTCGAAATAGGCGCAATGGCAAGCAATTGTAATTTTTACGTCATTAAAAATTACTAATAACAACATTAAAATCAAAATGTAAGTGTGTAACTAATTTAAATGGTAGGTATGCATTACTTACGAGTTACACAATAATTTCTTAAGTAGCTAGTACAGATCACATTATAGTAACTTATAATATTTTATGGATTGAATAACCTGCAATCTGTAATATTTTTTTTCATGAGTTTATAAATGCCACTAGTGGTCAAAATTAAATAAAATATTTTTAATTTTGATTTTAATACAATCATAGTGCCCACCAGTTCTATAAAGTTTTTCAAGTAATAATTCCATGTTATTTCATTGAATAATAGTAATAATTACTTCAAATCAAACCAACCAACATAAAACAAGACTCAAAATGAATTCCAAACCACAAAAAATCATCTTAATTTCAGAACGTCTGGAAATCAAACATAATTTTTTATATCTTTTTTTATAAAATATTTCAGCCAGCACCAAAACCGAATATTCTAAAACAAATGCACATCGAAAACGTGTCGGCTAATCGATCATCACGGGCGGGCTACCGATAGCGGTGTTTATAAATAATCGGTTTGCGCTAATCCACTATCGCGGATTACCGATAACTCGGTTATTACCGCCACAATACCGCCGATAGCAGCCGTGATTGAAACGTTCGAAACCGTGAACTGATTTCAGTGGCATTTACGACCTGAAAGTAATGAAATCGTATGTCATAATAATGTAATATTTTGATACACGTTTAGAGCCGATTTAAGGAATGCGGGAATAATTTTAGATGGAAATTATGCAGTGGAAGTTTAGAAGTTTTACATTGTTGCCTAATCGGTCTGATGGATTTTGCCGCGAGAGATCGATTAGATCCGTTTTCTTATGAATGTTTCGATCACACTAATTGCTATCTTTAGAAGAGGTTGAATATTTGAGTGCTTTTGCATTTCGTTACAATTAGACTTAGGCTGAGTTGCACACCTTATTTTAACCGTACCAATAACAATAACTGGAGCTTTTTGTATAGATTTTGACAGATTTATGACGTTTGTCAAAGTTAAAGTAAGATGTACTTAAAAGTTCTTTTTTTTAACTCAGAAATCGATTTTTGAAATTTAACTTTTGTCAGGTTGTAAGTCGATGTTAGTTTGTAAAACTGTTCAAATTAATATTTCTGGTGCTCTATTTTATATCTATTACGCATTGGGTTCGGTAATATTTGTTGAACAGCCTCTGCTAATCCTCTATTCTGAAAATTCACACTAACATTATGTTAGATTTTGTACAAATTAGGTAATGCTGATCCGCTTAGTTAAATAAGTTTAAATGTTAAAATATCACATCATGCTACTGTCAAGCTAAATAAGTAGGTTAAATGTATCTATCTAAAGAAGTACGAGGTGTTCTTAGATATTTGATGGTATCAACCTGAAATTAGAAAATTATAAATAACTTGAAAAAATTGAAACCCACGACCTTAACCGCTTGCCGGGCGACTGCTGTTACGGCCAGCGTTTGTTTCATCAATGTTGGGTATAGGTACCTACCTTTAAAATGCGACTCTTAACGCTAAAAATTAAATAATCAACCTGAAATACCTGAAAGTAAAACTAAATATTTTGCAGATTGCAATAATAAAAACAAAAGCATCTAACTGAACTCGATCGGCTGACAAAAACAGGCGCAAAACACTGCATTCTGCGGTTTTTGCTGATGGCTTTGCTAATCATTTCACTTTTTTACCAGAAGCTTAGGCATAGATCATACAACGTGTACGAGTGGCCACAACAATCAAATATGTAACAAATTGTTTTAATAGTGCCTACTTATACGTCTTATAAAAGTAGATTTTTTTTTCAGCCACTGTTAATAATTCTATGGTTATGTGCAGTTTTTTGTGTATTTAATACATACTTTTCTTTAAGCAGATACTAATTAAAATAGAAGCAGCTTATAATCAACAATTACTAACATCTACAGCATGTTTCCTATAACAGAGTTATTCAAGGAAGATAATGCGTGCGCGATAACTGCAGAATGTTTTCTAATTGCGTAGTTTATTTAGGTACTTACATACACATTATCTCATATAGTTAGTTAGTTTTCACACGGTTATTGTATTCGTACCCACCGCCTCCATAATTACCATAACGCCTGCCTGTAGCACGATACTGACGATACTTAACAAACTCCAGCGCGAAACGTGTCGGCACCGTTACCGATTCCAAATGATGACTTTGATGTTTCGAAACCGAAATAAAAAAGGGTATAAGCACAATTACATCTTAGACTGGTACGTAGAAAGTGGGCGCGTGCCAAGCTCGGCCCACAAAAACGCCGGGAGTTTGTGTATAAATAATCCGTGCAATTAGACACGTACTACGTCGCGTCAGGTGAAATATTCTGTGGTTCAATTTG